TTTTGAATGAGTTGCTTTATTTGAAGTAGCACCAATACTTTGTACATGTCAGAAAACCCTGCAGTCACGTGTCTTTGGTAGCGCTCTTCCTCCCAGGCTTTTTACTATTTTTTATGGAATCATCACACAAATACTGACCTTCCCTGCAGATTACCTGCAACCTCCTTCCTGGGGTTGGAACTAGATGATCTTTAATGTCCCTTCCAACCCTAACCATTCCATGATTAAATGTTACCTTCCCCAAGACGCAAACGATCAGGCGCAGCAAAGGCAGAATACAGCCACAAAGCACACAGAAGTGCCTGCTCTAAATCAATAGGAGAATTTTCACCAAAGTTACTCAAAATTGGGAAAACTGATTTATAAACAGTTTGCAAAACAGTGTTGGTTCTATAGTCCAAATACTGTCAGTCTCCTTCGGGAGGATTGTTTGGAGGACAGCAGGACTTACCTGTGAGAACAGGGACTACTCCATCAAAGGCAGATTATCTGGGGCAAAGGCAAATGCCCAGCTTACACACAGAATCACATTCTCACGACAGAGAAAGACCAAACCAGCAGCAGGCCATTCCTTGTGTTTCCCTTTATTTCCTTGTCCCAGGAGAAGCCTAGAAAGACTGAACTATGTTCCCAGGCTGAGAAGCTCCACCCTAAGCAAAAGCACTTCTTGCATCCCTCCCTCTCCTCTGGGTGTCTGAAGTCCTAGAAGATAAAAGAGCTTCTTGAAGATGAAGCCAGATGCTCTGTGGCAGTGCACAAAGAGTAGCAACAAATCAAGCAAAGACATTAGAGAGACAGCTGTGGCTCTGGAAAAGCAGAAGACTATAGTTCTGCCAAGAAGAAGTGCTGGACTTCACCCTTAAGGTCCCTTCTAACTGTTTCATTAGGAGCTCTTTCCAAGACTGGGTAATAAACCATTAAAAGAATGCAAACAATAAAACAACAACAAAAAAACCCAATAAAAATGCCTCCTCTCTCATTTGGCACTTCGACAAGTTCATCTGGATTCCTCTGTCGCCTCCTGGTCTCCACAGTCCAGGAAAGATTTCTTGTTGGCCCGGCCCAAAGCCTTTGAGAGGGTGCGGGGAACGCAAGAGCAGGCAGAGGGAGCTACCTCTGGTCTGCAGCGAGAAGAGAAGGTTCAGGGGTGGACCCGAATTGCAAATAAAGCTGAACGAGCAGCACTAGGCCCAGGAAAAAGGCCAGACAGACAAAAGTAAAAGATTGTTCACCATGAGGCTGCTCAGAGACAACACAGGGCACAGACTGGCTGTGGAGCCTACAATCTTGAGGATATGAAAACCTGACTGAACATACTCCCAAGCGACACGATCCAATTGGGGCTGCTTTAAGCAGGACTGGGACTAAAGACCTCAGGCAGTATCTCCCAACCTCTCTGCTTCTGTGCTTCTTTGAACATGAGATATCCTACCTTCCCCAGATGGGAAGGGACACCCACAACCCTGCAGAAGGTGGCCTGTCCCACTACCACTCAGGCCCTTACTTCAGACCGTTACCAGCATCAGCCCCACCACTGACCTGAGGCACACCACCACTAGCAGCTGACCCATGGGTAGGATTTGTTCTGCTGAGCGCAGGGCAGTGGCCCTCCCACCACACAGTCCCCTTCTCCTGTCCACGCCTCACCCATCCGCACACCGTGGGAGGCTGTGTCACGGGCCTTGTGAAACTCAGAGCAAATGGCAGTCACTGCTCTCCCCTTGGCCCGTTGGGACAGTCACCTCCTCAAAGCAAGGCTCATGTTGGTCCCACCACAACTTGTCCTTGGTTAAGCTACACTGGCTGTTCCCTTTGTGTGCCTCCACATGATCTTCTTTCATTAACTGGTCTTCTCTTGTCCTACTAGGCTAGCCAAGCAAGTTCGGAGGTCAAGCACAGCATAACTTGCACTTGGTGAATCCCTGTTGGTTCACACCACCTGACAGGTGCTGTTGGCATTTTGTCCCATTTCTGTGTTGGATAAATAGATTTTCTACCAAAGGCTGGCAGGGCATTTCACCCCATGGCTTGGGGCAGGTAACTCTTCGGTTTCCTTCAACTTTTCTGAAACTCCTGCAATGTCACCACAGCTGCATCTTTTCTTCTCCCACTACTCAATTTCAAATTTCTCATCTGTGGTACTGTGCCAGAAACAGTCAGATTCAACACTTGGTTCAAAATAGGTTACAAAGCTGTTCTTACCCCAGTACAGCTCACAATTTAACCTGCATCAACAGACAACTGTCATCGTTTTTTAAAACTCATCACTAAGGGGGTTTTAAAAATATTTTAAAACTCTACAGCCAAGACAGATAAAAATCACAAGAGAGCTCTGATGAGAGAAACTGCAGTGGGTAAAGATCTTGGTGTGATTAGGTGCTTGCTGGATAACAGCTTCAAGCTAAGGGATTTTTGAAGCTACAGAAACCATTTGCTGATTGCTCTCCTCTCCTTTCCCCTTTGCTCTTCTCCTCACAGATAAATGGCAAAGAACACAAAGCAACAGACTTCCTTGATTGTACCCAAGTTCCCTAGTGCTTTTCACAAACACATTTTTAGTAAAAGAGCAATGGAAGTGACCGACAACATCGAAGAAGACTATTTTCATGGCATCTGGTCCATGAGCAACAGAGAGGTAACTGCTTCTATTGCCAGGAGGATCCCTGCCCTCCAGACAGGACTAGTTAGATACACTCCTAGGTTTGTGCACACGTGATGTTCTGCTGGAGAGTGATGGGAGCTGGAACACAGCTGGTGATTTTCAAGATTTATAACCTGATCTTTCTATACATTTGGTCAACTTGAACGCATGAGTACTGTGAGGCTGAATTCATATTGTGTAATGCTGTCACAATCTAATGACGGAAGTGACTACAGAAGTTTCATTATTTGATAATTCATAACACAAATGGAGCCTCTTCCTCCCATCCTACCACCAAGCATTAACATCCATTTTGCATGCCTTTTATAGATGAGGTAAACAAGCCACTTTTAGGTTCCTACCCCTCTAGCAACAATTAACTTTCAAAAACAAAGGATCGTGGCTACTTTGTGAGAAAAAAAAAATGGCTTGCAGCAGCAATTGTTTTTCATATGGCAACAAACTGGCACGCATAAACTCATGGGAATTCGTTACTATACTCTTCACAGTTACATACTGAAGATCACAGTAAGTACTGGGTGGAATGCATCATGATAAATCCTTAGGTACAACCGAGCAAGAGAGGAACTTCTGATAATCTCAGAAGCAGCAGTCCAAACAATTCAAGTAAGGCAACAAGTACAGGCTACTCCAAACAAACAAATAAGAAAAACTGATTCAGGCTACCTTAGTGAACATAGACTACGCTCCCTTGGTATGACAAGCAGCTCCACATTCCACATTCTTCAGACACTGTTTTCTTTTTTGGTTTTTTTCCCCTCATCAAATTTGCAGTTACTGACACATGCTGGCTCTTTCCTACTCATTTTCCCGTGGCTTCTTTAACATTTTCTTTTTTTCCACTATTCTAAACCTCTGACAAACATCTTGGGTCATCTGTGTCACAGACTTATAACCTTAAAATTCCCTTTATTAGAATCCTCCTTGCAGGGTATCCATGCTCAGAGATGTAGAATCCTATTTTTTGACACTGTTCTCCTCTACTAAGGGCTAAAGAAAACAATTGGAGACAAGTTTCAGTTTCTAAATCTGCTCACATTCTTCAGAAGAGACAGAACTGAGAGATTAACCATTTGATCAATGAAAACTCAATAGCAGTCACCCAAGAGAAGGGCTATTAATTTTTTGGCAGAATTACAAATTTGTTGCCTTCTACCTGGATTTCCCCTTTATTTCAAATGACTACAGCAGTTATAGTTGTTGTTCAAGATCTTATGCAGCATGATATAACCTTCTCCTTGTTAAAATGTACCCACAAAAGAGCTTGATTCCAGTAACAGGTAACAACACTCACTTGCAAAGTCCACCTAAGAACAATGGCAAACATTTGGCAGTGAGTTTGGAAAGTAGTTTTAATACATCGCCAGTTTGAAGCCTATTAATGTTTTGTACGTGTGTGCAAGATGACAAAGAAAGTAGTGGTGGAAGAGACAATGGCTGTAAATAATTTAGCATGGAGACTTTGCCCTGTCCATCAGCTTTTTAGAAAAAGTGAGCTGTGACTCACATATCTTATTTAAAATCAATTTATTACATTACGAACACTTTAGCATTTCAAACTGCTAACAGGTGAAAGCTGAGAGTGCCATTCACCTGTGATGAATTAATTACATTACTGTACCACCCCAACAATTGCTTTATTGTGAAATCTCAGCGAATCATATTTAAAAAACCACAAAAAAAATCCTCCTTCAATTACTGCAGTAGTTTAGAGGTGAAACATAAGAATGGTAACTAAGCATGAAAGACTGGGGACGCAGTCTGGAAGTGCAGTACAGTAGTGTTTTAAGAGGGATGAGGAGCTTGCTCCCTAGTTGTTCCCTTTGGTGTAGTTCGGTTCGTTTGGATCATGAACTAGGTTTTTCTCAGATGAAACTGAACTGGAAAATGCACTCCAGAAGCACATCTAATACACTCAGCTGCAAATGGCTATTAGACTAAAAATAGTTCAAACTAAATAACTCTGAAATGTGTACAGTACGGATGTCAGGTCCTCCATTTCAGCTGTATGAATCTGCTCCTGTTGAGCTGCACTAGCGCTAATGCCAGCATAGCTGCAAATTCACCGCTTCCAGACGGGTTAGGGATGCGATGGGTGTGATCAGTCAGTTTTATAGAATATTAGTATTCACTACAGCACAGACCTCTGAAAAGTTTTCAGGCAAATCCAGTCAAATTTCTCTTTTAACAATTAAGGGAGAAAAACCATCAATGCTGGGTTCTTGAAAGTCTTTGTGATTTGCAACTCATCTTTGAAACATGAGCAGTTGAAATTGTTAAGTATTTGTAGCTGAACATCAAACAAAATTCCAGAAAGGGCAAGAAATCAGCAACATACCTTATTGCTTCCTCCACAGATTGGCCAACTATATTTGAGGATGGACCTGGCTGAGACAAAGGTGTCAGGCTTATCACCCACTTCACTGGCTTGTAGTACTCATCACTGGAACTCAATAGGTAGAATAGTGTGGTCAGAAAAATCACCTGCAAAACAAACTTGAGTTTAAAATTAAAAGACAATAAATACTTTCCAGAACTACAGTTATGTAGCTATGCTTCAGATATTGAACCTCAATGGAAAGGCATAAAATACTATTTCACAAGCTTGGATTTAGAAAAACACACAGAAGCTACAATAATAATTTTCTCCCCTGCTCCACAAAAAGCTGTAACAGTTATAACTAAACATCATAAAACTTTTAATCCTGTTCAGCCTCGTCCCAAAAATCACATCTAGATCAAACAACAACAATGTTTAGAACACATCTAGATCAACATTTTTGTTGTTTGTTTTTTTTTTTCCAATATGTTTAGAAGATCCAAGGATTGCTGAGTAATAATACCTATTTTAAAAAAAAACCCAAAACAAAAGAAAAAAACCCCCCAAAGCCCCCCAAAAACCTGCTAAATCAATCTGAATTATGACAAGAGTCATTATACAGATGGATATTGGATAAGAATTAAACAAAAACTCACAAACAGAAAATTTATAAAGTTTATTAGGCCAGCAATCCTGACTGAATAGTCATTCTGTGAGTCTGAAGATGAGTTTCAGCAGAAGTGATGGCAGTTCTATTGTTTCAGTTTAAAGACCACAAAAATACAATCAGATTGTATGAGCTTCCTATATGTTGCAGTCCACTATGTTTTCCTGATTCTCCTGTTAGTGGGCTCAGCAACTTCTTGGGTGAAGCATATACATCACAGAAATGTGTCCAGCTTGAAAGAGAGTATCTCAAACAAGGCAAATCCATTCTATATGCTCCAATGATAAGCTATGGCTTGTAACTGCTTCATCTGCAAACGTTAGATCTTTTTTCTTTCTTCCCAAGATTAAAAAGAATTCTTTCACTTTCCTAATTTCCAATCTACTCATATGCTACAATACAAACATCTTAATCTTCTGATAAGCCAAACAGCCTGACCTCAGTAAGTCTCCTGCTTTCAAGCATTTTATGCAGTCTGCAGACACCTCACGTCCTTTTCCTGCATTCTCCCTGAACATACTTTGAAAAAAACCGCAGACAGCACAACATGCAGTATTCCATCACCAGTCTCAAGAATGCCATCCGTTTGCCTCTGTTCCCAGTTCCTTTCTACTCAGTGAAGTGTTACTACTACTTTTTTGCCCCCACAGCCTTTAACTTTGAAATGACACTCAGATGTTCACTTTCTGTGACCCCATTCCATATGTTCTCCAGGCCCTTTACCAGCTTTGTTGCCCTTCTTTGGACACACTCCAGCACCTCAACATCTTTCCTGTAGTGAGGGACCCAAAACTGAACACAGCACTCGAGGTGTGGCCTCACCAGTGCCAAGTACTGGGGCACAATCACTTCCTTACTCCTGCTGGCCACACTATTTCTGATACAGGCCAGGATACTGTTGGCCGCCTTGGCCACCTGGGCACACCGCTGGCTCATGTTCAGCCAGCTGCTGACCAGCATCCCCAGGTCCTTTTCTGCAGGGCAGCTTTCCAGCCACTCCTCCCCAATTTGCACATTCCCCACAGGACTATAGATGCCCATCAACCCAATGGAGCTTTTCTCTTCTGATCTTTGTAACAGAGCATGAGCAGAGTGCGTGTGTGTGTGTGCACATGCGAGTGTACACAGACACACACAAAGGCACATATATACATCCATGGGTGCCTGTGTGTGGATAGGAACTTGTATTCAGAAGTGGCACTACTATAGCTAATGATCAGTTTTCAAACATCTGTTGAGGATGTGAATACAGCCTTACTGGATCATGGATGGATATGCTACACACATTACTTCCTACTGCATGCTTTGATAGAAGACATTTTTCAAAATGGAAGTTCTGAACAAAGTGTCCATTATTTCTGTTTTGAAGCACAATTTTTAAACCATTTATCAAAAGAAAACTCACTATTTTAATTTTTATTAAAGATGACTAAAACTGGACTGAAATGTAATCAGTTGAAAAGCTAATCAATTCAGGAATTATCTTATTGGAAAATTTAAATTAGTTTGTGCCACTTCAAACTTGTAAAAACTCTTCTGTAGCAACTAAGAATCCTGCAAAATGAAAAGTAAGAGTACAGTTAAAGCGGGACTAGTGTTTTGTTTTAAACATAGTTCTACCTAGACATAATTTAAAATAATTCCTTCTGTTTCACATTCAGAAAAAAAAAATTCCCTCAGTAGCCCATTAAATACACCTTTTTGTCAAAACACTGACGTGGCATTTCCAAGACAGCTTTTTCAGCTGACATATCTGAGTGGACCACAGCAACAAGATGTGCTCAAACACTGCCTACCTAGCTTCAGGGTTCAGTCCATTAAAAATGTGAAAATTCCATTTCAAAACTGCATTAAAAGAAAGGGAGACAGGGAAAGGATATAGGGCCAGGTAGCAGTCAAAGATGCAGCAACTAAACTAGAACAATCAAAAACTCTGAAACTATTTACCTTCACATTCAAAATGAACTAACTCTATACAAAAGCTCTTTCTCCTTACTGGAGAATAGTGAGATTTTTTTCAGGAAACCAGGAACTTCTTAATTCAAGACTTTCCAAAAGTGCATAAAACAGCTCATGCTGAAATCTCAGCTTAAAGAAAAACTAAATTTTTAAAGGTATCCACCCGTGGAAAGCAAATTATTGAGGGGAAAAAAAAAAAATATCTCGCTACAGCAAAAGATGTCAGTATGCCTTGAGACCCCAGAAGAATAAGAACTGTTAAGGTCACTTCTGGTCTTCTCCTCCTCTCTTGGAGGGTGGTTTTCTTTAGCTCTGAATGAAGGAACATGAATAGCAGGTAAATCTAACAACAACATAATACCAAATGGGATTTAGTAACAATGCACATCACAAAAGTTAAGAAAGCTGCATTTATTTATCCTACGGTCATATCTGGATTTTCTCTACTTATCGCATTAAGCTGTTCCAACAGGGAAAGAAAAAAAACAAAATTAAGAAGCAGTTATATTATTTCTACATGGACTCCACAATAGTTCAGTTAAGCTATCCTTAAAAGACTCAGCTAAATTCTCACAACAACTATCATTTTTATTTACTTACTACCCCAAATAAAGGATTGTATTAATCATTATTTAGCGCAGGCTATTCACTGAATATCCTAACTTTCCAGTCCTTTCTCCTTCAGTCACAAGCTGTTAACAAACCCACACGAAACCCTGATAAAACAAGTTTCATTAATTTACATTTTTAAGAAAATCTGTTTAGTTTTTGTAGCAAGAACCTTTGTGAAAGTCTTACATAAAGATGAGAAACCATGCCTCTGAACAGACAAAATGGCCTATGAAATGTACAGTGCAAACAAGACTAAATTATAGCACTCTCACACAGCATTTAACAGCATTAATAAATACTCTTCAGGCAGGCAAGCAAGTTTTAAATGCCTTCAAAAGAGGTACTTCATACAGTTACAAGAACATCAACACTGAGACATGACATTTTCTGGGGAAAGCTTTATATGACCATTTTTAAGTAACATGTTCAACCTACAACAGAAGTGGAGGAAACAGAGTAGCCTTTAGGGAATCTAATCTTTGAAAGAATTCCAACACAGCAGTAGCCCAACTAGCTCTGCTAAACCAGCTGATTGTGAAGAAAATACAGAATCACAGAATGGTAGGGGTTGGAAGGGACCTCAGGAGATCATCTAGTCCAACCCCCCTACCAAAGCAGGTTCCCTGCACCAGGTTACACAGGAAAGTGTACAGGTGGGTTTTGAACATCTCCAGAGATGGAGACTCCACAACCAAACTGGGCAGCCTGTCCCAGCGCTCCAGCACCCTCACAGTAAAGAAATTTTTCCTTAAGTTTGTCTGGAACTTCTGGTGTTCCAGTTTTTGCCCACTGCCGCTTGTCCTGTCACTGGGCACCACTGAAAAGAGCCCAGCCCCAGCCATTTGGCACCCATATTTCAGATATTTATAGACATTGATAAATTACCTCTACCACTATAAATTACTGCACATAGCTGTGGCATTTAAAAATAAAAAACTATAAAGATCTAGTTCACATAATACACTAAAAAGTAATATAGCCTTTAAAGGAAATATCTTTAATAAAAAGGTTTCAGAGACTACTACTTAGTGTGGGCAAAAACATTAATAAGAATTAACTTTGTGTAGGAAGCATTCTGGAATTAAGAGCTCAAAGAGGTTAGTTAAATAAAAGGAACACAACAACCCCCTCACACAGATTTGCTGAAGACACTTCATTAAAAAAGGGAATATAAGATAAATCTTGTGAAATAAATACTTTTGCTGACATTCCCCTGTAACAATTTTCCCCTCTTCTGAGAGTATTGGCTTGTTTAAAGATATGTTTATGAGGAAATGCCATTAGATTTCAGTAGCTATGCAAGATACCATAAGTTACAGCTCAGTATCTTCAAGTCCAGAAACAAGAGTTTTCCATGAAGAGGAAGACTGCCAGCTCCTTATGCTGGAAGTTATACAAATCTTGTCCTTTGCCTAGAATGCTCCCCAAACCACAGATCTGAAAGTTGCAAAACGTTAAGGAATTTTGGTATTAGGTAAGGTTAGAAGAGGTCTTCAATGCTTTTGGTTGGAGTTTTCATTGTTACAACATGTGCAATTAGGTTCCTTCAGTAAAACAGACCATGTAAACCAATGACATACTACTTACCACCGAAAGTACAAAGTTGAGAAGAGCTGTCCCACTATGGAAGAGGATTGTCACTAAAGTTGTAACTGTAGTAAACAAGAGGCTCACATTGCGACTCATCACTATCCACAGAGACTCCAGGATCTGGAAAAGGAGAGGGAAGCAAAGACAAAGTCAGTCACTGGATGATATTAGCTAGAACAGAGAAAGAGTGATTGATCTTCATCAAGTCATACAAAAAAAAGGGGTTTTCTTTAAAAATCATCTTCCCTCATTCCTAAATGACAGCAGTTAACATCAAGTGAAAACATCTACTTTACCAAAAACAAGTTTCTACCATCTACCATCAAGGTAGATGGTTACAAGGTTTTAGAATTTTTCTCCCAATACTCAAAATTATTTCATTATGTAAAACTGTAAAAAAACTAGATGCAGTGATGCTTTTCTATTGTGACTGGCATCATCATCAATTGAGAAGGAATTGAAATTGAAAGCAGATCTTTACTTCAGAGACAAAACTCATCTTTTCAAAAGCAGAAATGCTAAAACACGAAGAACAAGGAGTGACAACACCAGGTAGAAATAAATCTGTAAACAGCTTCAAATCAAATAGAATTACTACTTTAATAAATTTATTTTTAAAATGTTTTATGTTAAGGAGATACATAATTTTTATAATGTTTGCAGACAACTACATAAGTTGTGATTTTGAGAAAGAATGCATCAGTTAGTCAAGCAATTATGGAAAATAAATCAAACAACGCTAGACAATCTATTAAATTCTGAACTGGCTTGGGGAAGTGATTGCTTATCAGTTACAGATAGTAAAGAATAATTTTGAGACTAGGGTTTAAACATGGATTACCCACTACAGCCAAATTAGTTTATGTAGGGACACAGGTGCATCAATCTGACTAAGGCAGCAACCATGACACAGTAAGGACATAAAGGCAAGGCAATGTGTGGCATGTGGAGGCATCCTATATACAATGCACAGTAGTTTCATAAAAAATATTTAATTCAGAAAGAGTACAGTAAGAATGGATTAGCCAAAGTGATTCAAACATGTAAAAGAAGCAAGGTTACAAACAAAAAGCCATACTAACTAATATAACTGGAAAAACTCTGACACAAAAGACCCTCTTCCAGGTTCAAAGCTGCAAGCAAAGACTTGAAAACTAGCAACAGTTATTCTTGGTTTAATGAATATCTTAATCAATTAGACTGAATTAAAAACAAACAAAAAATATCCAACCCCTGAAAAAACCCCAAAAACCACCCCGGTAGTTGGCATTTGTAGAGCAGACAAAGGATTGTGAGCCATGTGACTGCCTCTCCTTTGAAACTGAGAGAAATATATAGAAAATAATTTATTAAGCATAAACTTAAGAGGGAATAAGTGCTGGGGGAAGTGACAGGGAATTACAACACATAGTAAAACCAGAAAGATCTACTTAGTCCATGCTTCTTACTATTTAATGGGAATTACAAATCTTAAGGCTCATCTTTTGAGCAGATTTTATTAGTCGCTCTTGAGAATTCAAGTGAGGTTAGAAGTGAAGAGGATTTTCTGCTGAAAAATACTCTCCCACTGGTACCAGTCTCCTTCCTCCTTCTATGGATTAAGAATTCATTCTGGGGGTGCAGCAGTGGTGTAAGTTCACACAGCCACCAGGTAACTTTATTAAATATACATGACACTACAAGGACTGTAAACACAGAGGATAGACTTTTTCTGCTCACTTTGACTTCTGTGACTCAGACCATCAAGGACAGTGGCTATTAGTGCCAACTACACAGCATCACTGTGACCGTAGTCTACCCTCACAGCTCATGTAGGATATGACTGTTAAGGACTGACCACTTTCAATACATAATAATAACTATTAGAGGCTTGGAAAACAAACCATTAGTATAAAGTGTGTTGTTAATGAAAGTTGGTCTATTAAAGTTTTGTTTTAAAGATTAAAATGGGCCTGATTTATCAGTCTTCTAAACACTAATCATAGCAATTGTTAATTCCCTTCCCTGCACACTCCACTTGCTGTTACTAATATCAGCTCAGTTGATGTGTTGAGTGGTTCACAAGGAGAGGAGTTTGTTCCATCTGCTACAAGAGAGCATGTATCTGGCAGGAGCTAGGAAAGTTTCTTTCAAAATAGAATGTTCCTCTAGTACAGGTTATATTTGTTTAACATTTTCCCTAGAAGTTTTAGCCTAAGGAGCTGATAACCAGGAGTATACAACTGCAGTTAGTTTGAACGAAGGTATCAGGTGGTTCGATCAATATCGGGAATGGTTCTCCCAGAACATCATCCCTGTTGGGTAGAGTAATTGATGACAACTGTTGAACTAGGTATTGCTAGCATTTGCTTTACAGTAAGTGAGCACAGTGCCTCTCTCTCAGCTTCGGTACATCTTATGAAAGCAAGTCTGTCTTTTAGCACTCAGCTCCAGGTATGGAGTAATGCATATGTACCATTACAATTTTAAGATGCGTGCTTCTCGTTGCTATGTGGGACATAACAGACATTAATCATTACTGAATACAGTAACAGAAAGTGCTCCAGTACTTCACTAAGTCACAAAATCAAAATACATGTACCTGCACCTAGGAGTTCATAATGCCATTTGATTCCCAGAGCATACTGCAGCTGAGTTAATGAGTTCAGTTACTATACTTAAACAATTTCTAACACCTTGCCAGCTGAGACCAGTTCTCCAAAACACAACTAAGTGTGAATATTTATGCAATAATGATGCTTTTAATATTATTGTTATTAAATAACTGAAAAACACACCTCTTTCTCCAAACTACTGCTTTGTAAGTAGCCTTAAGAGATCAGTGTTTAAAAAGAGATATGAAGCTGTACAGAATTCAAGGCTTCCTTATGCATGACACCATGATGAGCCACCATCAGCATCAGTTGCTGTGCTTTTCCAATCTGTAACAGGCAAGAAATCAAAATTGCACTTGATATTCTAAGCCATCTAAGGTGTCCTACTGGCCACTTAAATTGGCCAATACCTGAAAGCAAGGTTTAAAAGGCACTTCACTAAAACAAATTATTTGTTGAGAACTCCACGTCAACAAACTTCTGGAAGACAGGTAAATTTGTGTTCGTAATAAAACTGGACACACAGAGGTAATAGGAAAAAAAATTGTCTTTCTGCATACTTGTAATATTTTTTTTCTGTTCAGAAAGACATATCAACCTGACAACTCAAAAATGACAGCAACAGAACAAGTGAATAAAGCTTTAAGGTAAAAGACAAGCAACTGACTTCGTGAAGAATAACACAGTATGCACAAGATAAAGGCTTCCAGCCCCAGCTAAAAGCAGACTTCCAAATAAATGTTTACTCGTGAAGATCTGGGCTAACCCTTCAGGGCTCAACAGCTCATTTTTGAAAAAACATCTTTGCTTGACCTTTACATGAAACAGAGGCAAAACAGCAACAGAAAAAGGAATATCCTCAGCATCATGTCTTTGACTTCCTCATTGTAAAGAAATCAACTGTTTCTCTAAAAATATGCACCAGGTTGAATTTCACCTACCCAGAAAAAACCAACACCCATTATGAAGAAGAGAACATGAACACCAAACCTCTGAACCAAACCTTACTAGGAAAAAAAAAAAAAAAGAATGGTAGTTGAATTATTACTGAAGAATGGACTGTATTAGCTATAAACTTAGGAGATCACTTGAAGAAATTCTCAGGGCCAGAGTAAATATTAGGATATGTGGTAACTCGGTGAAATATTTGAGAAACTGTAATTGGATGTCAGCCTGATGTGATTTGGAACACACAGATCAGTCATGCTAAAGGCACGGACAGAGAAACCTAACTGAGCTGAAGCTCACTGTGTATATCTTAGTGGAAGGTCTTCTGTCTTCCTGTCTGGGAAATCTCTGAATGAGATAGCGGCTGCTGGTGGAATGATTAACATTCTTGTGCAAGAAGCAGGAAGATCAATTTAAGGAGACATTAGCAAAGTCTCATATACCATCAAGGGAGTTCTGAGTGATCATTCACAGATTTAGCCGGCAGCAATTGACTCTTTCAAGGTTTCAAGCCTTCAAGATATGGAGGAAAAGGGTATGAATGGAAAAGCAGGTGACTGGGGAAGGAATGAGGCTTTTTTATTTTTCAGAAATTAAATCTTAATTGTCCAGCTATGTGTTGTATATTTCATTCACCTTATTCATCCACCTTAGAATAAGAGAATGAAGTGCAAAATCTGAAACACAAGTGAGGATCCCCTCTAGCTCGTTCCACAAACTAAGAACAGGATGAAATAAACCCCACTTCTGAAACATACCACTGGATAAACTGGTCTGTAACACTAGTGCTTCTAAAGGATACTGGAAAAATCTGAAGCTGAGAGGCAGCAGCGCTGCTAACACCAAAACTTTTAGAAAAAAGCAAACTAATTATTTGGAAAAGTTTATCTTCATATTAAATCTTCAGGCAATTTACATGTTTATTTTGTGAATTACAGCTGTCTACAACAAACTAGAGCTAAGTATAGCTGCTATAACAGACAGCACATTTTGATGGTGGTACAGAAGACTTCTGTGCTTTTTCTGATACTCATAATTAAAGTACTGAATCAATGCATATTGTTACAAATTAAATGAATGACAGTAATTCCCCAGCACAGTTATACCAGTGATTTAATTATATGCTTTCAACTCTAACATGAAAGTTTGTTCCACTCAGGAAAAGCCTGAAATGAAACACGTGCATCCGTCTTCTTTCAACATTTTTATTACAGCAAATGCTCCTCTCTCACGAGGATGAACATGTCCTGTGATGTCAATCAATGGAAAAGAGCTTATCTGCTTGTGACTGTGTCCTGGTTTCAGTGGGATTGTTATGAGAAGAAACGTTGATAACTACAAGGACACTGTGCTTGGGCAGTTTGCAAAAGCAGAGGACTGGAAGGGTGGAGTGGAGAAGAAAAGTGTAGTAGTTAGTAAAACCCAGAACTGACAGTTGTATGTGCCAATAAGATATTCCATAGCATATTATGTCATGTTTAGTATATTAGCTGGGATTGACCAGAAATGGGGGGATTCTCTTGGGCTCACTTTTCCAGGATTGCGATTTTGGTTTCAGGGTTCCTTTTCACTCCTCTGGGATTGTTATCAGCAGGTGGTGAGCAATTGTACTCTCTATCACTCATACAGCTGTTATTATTCTTATTATTTTAATTTTATTTTACTCTAATTATTAAGTTGTTCTTATCTGAACCTACAAGTTCCCCAACCTTTACCCCTCCAATTCTCTCCCCGATTCCCTGAGTGGGGGGGGGGGAAGGGGGGGGGGGAAGGCTGGGAGTGGGTGGTCCCTGTGTGGGGGATAAGGGGGTGGGGGTGCTGAGAGTGGCTGTGTCTTGTTTGGCTGCCAGCTCAGTTAAACTATCACAGACTGCAATATGACACTGTCAAACAGCAGTATTTTCAGAGAACACAGTCACCTGTACTATTCTGAAATATTTCAGAAAGCCAAGGGACTAGCAAAACAGTTATTCTATGGTAAACTCTAGCCTCAGCTTATGCATAAGTAGTTATTATGTGCAAGTAGTCTAATCTTAGTTTATTTTTTTCAAAGGTGGAGGAAATGTCACTATAGCTGCACATCCACACACACTTATTTACAGTTATCTCTTTGTCTTTAAATGGTTTATGTTTTAAAAAAACTGTGAAAGCAGTTATGGGACTATACCATGTCTTGCTATATTCTTAAGAATTACAGGTTAGCATTGATTTCCAGTGTCCAAATGAAGAAACATTCTACAGTTTGAATTATAGCTGACCTATTTAAACCTTCCCACAATCCCTCACAACATACAAAAAAAAAAAAAAAGCCAAAGTCCCACAAAATACAAAAAAGTGAACAAAAGTGCCAAAAAACCCCCAAACCAAACACAAACAAAATCCACCCAAAGGAAACCTCCAAAAACACCCCCCCCCCAAAACCATGCACATAACTTAAAATATTGATCCTTCCCAATTCAGTATGCCATTCTAATAACTCCTTGTTCCTTTTCAAAACACCAAGAGAAAGACTTTAATTTTCTCATAAAAATATAAATCCTGAATACAGTACACTTCCGTTGTATTCTAGGGTACAAACACCAGACTTAAGCCAAAACTATTCTTACTTTCATCATCTCCAAGTTTGAATGACCTAAACAAGCACAGAAATAATATTTTCATCAATTTTAATTTGAAATATCAGTGTGAGTAATATTTATGCAATGCATTATGGATAAGCAAGCCAGGAAAGAAAACGCTGCCCAGTAAGGATGTGAAATCAGGATGTAGAGCTATATACTGTGCTGACTGGTTTACATTCTGTCATTAAGGACGTGAGTGTACGGAGAAAAAGGACAGGTGTTTCCCCACAGCTGATGAGTAATGAGTTCATGGAAATAAACAGGAAAGCAAGTCAACTGCTGGCATGTTTTTTCCTGAACTTCTAAACCAGATTGTACAAGTACAGCAAAGCATGCTAGCTAGATGAAAATTTTAATATTAATGTAATTCAGTCTTAAATATTTATTCTCTGTACACTATTTCCTGCATTATTCTAGCCTACTTAGATTACTGCAGCACCTTTATCATCACAGTTTCCTGAGCACTGTGCAGCAATGCTGTAAATTACACGGCTAGCACCTACCATGTGGTTTCTTCTCCTCCTCTCCCTCTTGCCTAGAAGGAAACTCCATATTGATTTTAAATGACCATGTGTTGTGCATTTTTATAATTGTCCCTCAAGCATGCATGGTCAACTCTGAGAAAGTATTAAGCAAATTTCACTACTAACTGAAAAAAGGTTCACTGCAATAAAAAGTTTTTCTCAACTTCTTCTTTACTCACATCATCTTCTATGATAGAAACTGTAATCATTTAAGCAGCAGTTGAGAGAGAGGAGAAGCAGACATGCCCACCAGTCTAAACCAAGACCTGCCTCGAGGTAAATACTAGTTTTAAATCGCATCCACAGAAACATTATGTTGCAAGTTAGGTATAAATAATATTCTTCCAAAGTGGATAAATAGTAAACTTATAGTTTGCAACAACAGCTCAAGGCAAAGGTGAACTACATCAGAGACTGACTCCGTATATTAAGCATTTCAGACTTAACACCGCTTTTTAGAGAAATGTAGTTGCCTCAGTTTGAATTGCTTTCAATGCTTTTTCTTTTTCTTCCTCATCAGGTGAAAAGTCCAGTGCATTAATTCAGGAATTCACACAGTGTAAAATATTAATTTCATTGTCCACAGAACTTTCATAAAAGAAGAGAGAAATAAGATGCTTTCACCCCAATAATAATCTGAAGGGAAAAAAAAGTAAAAAAAAAAAAAAAAAAATTGTTTTCACAACCTCTTGGTCAATAGTTTCCTCAATTATAACCTAGAGAAACTGTCTCTTTTTTAAAAGGAAAAGACTACATAATATAAACTGTTTAAAACCAGCTTGCAGGTGACACAGGTAATCATACAGTAACAATCTCTCTCAGGGAAAAGTCTGGGAAGTATAAATGAGGATGCTGAAATCAGGAGGGCTTCTTCATCACAACCAGTTGCAGTATGGTTATATCCTAAGTAGACTTCCAGCAATTGCTTAGGTAATTGTAAGTAACACTGACAGTGTTTCCATAATTTTCCATGTACTTGAATCCATAACCTTAGTGGTAGTCCAAGGAGGAACTGTTACCAGTTAAAAGTGAGACCAATTTGGAAGTAAGAGCAAAAAATACATACCGAAAGAAATGTTTCAATGTTATCATGAACAAATGATGCAACATCTTGCCAGTCCAGAATATCACCAAGCCAGCTGTTCTGACGGTTTATGTGCCATTTGTGTCCTTTGTGTCTTCCAGAATGTGTTACATTCTTAACAAGAAAGACAAAGACGTAAAGAAAACAGACATTTGAATAACTTACAGATATGAGAAAGCCAAAGACTAATGTCTTCTTACTGATGAACATATCCAACATGCACCTAATACTTAAAGCTGCTTTAATTTGCATCCTCAAAAATACCTGGAAGTACTCTGTACACTGGAAAAACTAAAACTTGACAGAAAACCATAGTTAATTATCCTATATAATTACAGTTCTGTATATTGTACTGATATACCTCAGTGAAACATTAGCTTTACTGCTTGACTGATAAAATGGTATCTAGCTCTTTATGACAGCAGGCAAGAAAGAGGTAATTATTTCAGCCACTGCCTACATAATTTACTGTTTGCAACGTACAACTTTCCCCGGTACAATCCACAAAGGAAAATACAAGCAGAAGGCAAAACAAGTAGTTTTCTCACAATTGGTGTCTACTTCTCCACTGGCAATGTTCAGTCATGCAAAAGCCAAAAGCTAAAATGGAAGCATGGAGAATTTCTTCTGACTTTGTAACTGCAGAAAAGCAAGACACCAGGAAAGGGCCATAACCAAACCAGCCACTTCCTTAACTGGCTTCACCTTAATTATGAAGCTGTCTATTGTCCAACTGAATTACACCTGACCACCGTCTAGCATGAGACTATCTGACTCGTATTTCAGAGAAGGATGCCAAAATTCTACTGTAAGCAAGTCTAAACAAATCCATTCACTACAACAGATCTCATCCTAATACTTTAATAGCAAGTGACTTCCAGTTCTCAACTTTGATGTTTATGTAAGTGTCCCTCTACTTCTGTTAGAACTTTCCAAAAAGTTTTAACCTTACCAGACTGCATTCAAAATGACAGTATCTATTTTTGGCGTACATGACAAGCAGTACTCCAAGCAAAGTCCCTGCACTGATTTATCTAAGAGCATTACTTCCCTTTTTTTGCTTATTACCAGTTCTCCCTAGATGCATTATTACACTTCATGATGCACAGTTAGCAAAGCTCTTTAGCAATCCACAGCAACACAGAGATCTTTCTTCTGAACTGGCAGTTTACTTAGAGCAGAAACATATCAGTAGTCAAAAATCTACCTCCAATGGGCCTTCTGTATGTGCAAACTGTATCAAGAACCTATTTTCTGTTCATCTAGTTCTATTTCCAAAGACAGCTCTCGCCATTAACTAGCAGACTCAGGTATCATTTGCAAATTTTGTAACATTGTTATTAATACACATTTAAAGTTCATTGTTATTCAGCAACTATACTGTTGTAGCACCTAAGGCCTCAGGTACTGATACAAAAAGGGATTCAAAGAAATTGTCAACTGGTTCCTCTTCAACAAATTCACCAGATCTTAAAAACAAAACAAAACCTCACAGCTGAATGGACTAGAAAGAGGAGATTCTTGTCCTTGAAAAAGACACCTTGATTGCAGACTTATGCCATCATCTTCCAAGTGCTTCATTATTCTGTTACTATTCTACTTCATTGGGAACATAGACACAATGGTAACTGATCTATTACAACATCTCTAGAACCTTTTAAAATATACACCATTTGCTACATACTGATCTTCTCAGAAACTAGCAGTTAATGGTTGAATCCACATTTTGTCAGCAATTCCTCCTCAATTCTACAGCTTCCGTAGAAGAGTATCACCCGAGCCTGGGTTCTTCAGTCACCTACAGACTACAGCAACACTTCTCAGGCCTCAAAATGAAGTGCAATGCTCATACAACTGCAATAGCGAGGAGCTTGAAAAGTGTACTGAGAAAGTCAGATATGGTACAGATGTCCTCCACGCTGCACCATCATCTAGTTTAACAGTTTTCAGAACTGAAGGACCATGCAAGGCTATTGCAATATTACAGAAGGAAACAGTCAGGTGGAAAGCACTCCGATCAGACATCTATGTGGATATGGATTGCGATAGAAAGGGTAAGATTAGAAGCAGACTCTGGAGGAGCTACCTGCAGCCCACAGATAATCGGATGCAGCCCAGCATGCCAAAGGTAACATAGGGTCTCTAGTATGCAAACAGCAGCCAGGGCAACAGACTTCAAGACTGTAGGCAGCGAGCATCAGTGCGTTCCTGCAGCTCTTTCTGCCATTTTGATTGCTAGGAAAGCTGTTTCTAACCCTACCAGAAGAGTATCTACAAGAAAGAAGCCTCACAGTATTCCCTTACATAACAGCTGCAGGAAAGAAATCACACAACGCAATGAACACAGACACCACCTGTGCTGCATCCTGCAGCAAGAGAAGTACTCCTACAGCACACGCAGCGGCACAGAGCCCGCCGGAACCATGCGGCGCCACGGGCCATGGGACACACAGGTTATGTTAGTAACAGGCTTATCCCTGTCACTCTATCAAAAGTGGGCACTTCTCTCTACCAAGAGTGGGCAAAGTGGGCACTTCTCTTGGTCACGCATTTAACACTGAGTACTCCCAAGTGCTTAAGGTCAGCAACATCTATTGTAGATCCAGCTTTAGTTTCTCCTCAGTTGTCCCATATTCCTCAACAGCATCATGTTATCCCTTCACATGCTCTTCTACAGCATCATCTTGTCAGAGGAAGAAACTGCTTCTTTCCCCTATTGTTTTGACTACTATACTGAAACTCTCTTACTTCTTTTAAAACAGAGATCTTCTTGGAACTTTAGAGGCAATTTAAAAATGACTGTATAAAGAAAAGTGTTAAAATACTGTAATTGCGACTATTTAAATATAGAGAAGTATTTCAGGGGTATGACTTCTGGATTTTGATATTTCCATTGCACCATGGCTAATCAATTGCTTGCTTTTTCCTTTTAAAGGCAAACAGCAATGACAGCATGAAAATGATTTAACTCTTATGACCTTTTCAAGGTTCAGTGTGCAGAACCCATTATAAGAAGGCTAGTACAGTTGGTAAAAATGCATTGAAACTTAGTGAAAGGATAATTTCTTTCTCAAAATTTCAAATTAATAAAAGCTACACAAATCATGCAGAATACCAGTTTTCTCAGGATCATGAAAATTCAACAGAAAGCTCTAAACTACTAAATACTAAATACAAAAACTGAGCAAAGCGTAAATTAAATGGCATACATAAAACCACACATCACTATTTTAGTGAAGGACAGTTCTGGTTGTACTCAAACTGTGACTGTAGAAAGTACACTTGAAATTTTTACCAACTTTTTATTATTATAACCTTTACTTGGTATTCCAACTTTTTGCTAATCTCTTTCTCAGAAATGCATAACTCACATAATTACCTAAAAGTACTAAGGGATAGTTTATGTAAATACTATTTAAATAAGTTACCCACCTTCACAAACCAAGAGTGATAAAGCCTGTCCCAGAGCTCGAGCACTTGTTTTTCAATCACAGCTGTGTTATTCACTTTTTCTCCTAAAATCTTATGGAGCTAAAACATAGAGAAAACTTTTATTATACAGAATAGATGTAAGGCGGTATTTACTAACAAACTCCAAGCAAGATGAATCACCTAAGATTGTCAGTAAAGGCATGGCTCAAATCCAAACAACTATAAAAGCTGAGTATCAGTATAGAATACGCACTTCAGACAACACGATTCACAACATGAACATTTTGTCTATAAAAAAACCCCAAAACATTCTGCTGCACACAGAGCTGAGTATTTCTTTCTGCACTGAAAACCAATGCTGTCTCTAAAATGCTTAACCCCAAATCCTTGATCATATTTAGAGTAAATATTTCAAATAATTTGAGACGTGTGTTAGATATCAAAATGTATAACAGTCTTGGCAAATTCTCCTCAAGAAAGTCAACTGAAATAAATCAAACATCATTAAAAAAACCCCCATAAATTCATTCTACCACACCCAGCCCACATAGAAATTCAATACTTGGGGGGGGGTGGGGGGGGGGGGGGGGGGGGATTAAAAAAAAAATTCTACATTGCCTACAATTGGACAGCTAAAGCCAGATGAAAAAAATGACTCATCTTTATTTAAGGCATTTTGACTGGCAATCTTATTAAAATGTCAGATTTTTCAGCTCTTAAAAAGTAAACATTCCACTGAGCCAAGAAGATACTGAAATCACTCCTACCCTTCCTTCAACTCAGAAACTAGAGAATAGAAAGAATATTATCTGTATGTTAACAAAATGGTTAACCATAACAGAAAAGAATCGCTGACAAAAATACTTTTATTTCTTTTTACTTCTGTGAAATACAAAAAATGAAAACATTAAAAAAAGTGAGGGAGTTCGCTCTTACCTTATGTGTAATCCATTCTCGGCCATACTGGTACACATTATTAGCTGCTGAATTGAGAGCCTTCTGAATAACCTGGGCTTCTGGGAGCCAGCTGGATTTTTTAAAGAAGGAAAACAACGTTAACTGGAACGTATTTTACCCATTTAATTATACCTGAAACACATTACAAATTAACATTTTGAAACAACAACAGTTAAGGTTAAATACATATAAACTTACTACAACTAGAAAAATTCTTTCTACATATCAAGGCACAGACTTTATCATAAGCAAAGCACAATTAAATCTGGAGCGTGCCATTGCATTTGGAATTCTCCAAGGTGCCTAAAACCTTAGTTAAATTGGTATCTCAACTTTTTCAAGAGAGATCTGCTCTTCAGTGTGTATGGGTGTTATTCACATAGCATTCTTAGAAATTTTCCTAGTGCTCTAGGTTTCTGAAAATACTTTATGAAGCAGTCTTGTCCTGCTGCAAGGAAAACCTTCTGAACTAAAAATTGGATGTAAATTGTTAATGCAGTTTCTGTGAAAAAGTGACCAGACAAAGCAACAGGTTTGGGCACCAGATTTCTAAGTCCCCACCAAACTATCAGCTCACGAAAACCTTCAGGGATTCCTGTCACTTTCAAGCAATGGACCTACTGAGTTGCGAGCGTTCAACACTTGTGAATACAGAGCACACGTTCTCTGCTTTGACTTTTCTTCTACATCTTGATTCAATGGCACATGTTGGAGCCCTTCCAAAACAAGAAAGCATTTGGGAAATAAAACTACTGCATCTGTTCACCACAGAAGCTTTTCTGTCTGTAAAACCGTACAGAAATGTTCTGTATTGGAATTTCAAGACATTTCAGTCACTCACCTCTAAACATAACATCAGCATCAAGCTCTGAAAGTTGGTGAAAATTGATGGATTTGACAAGAGGCATACTTACTCCTAATGAGTTAAAACACAGTGTTTTGGGTGCTTCAAATTTGAATGCAAACACTGGAAGTAAAAATTTTAGCTGAAATTCTGCTAATGAATCAACTAGTACTCCAGTATTTTCATTATATGAATAAGCTTCTGACAGTCAAATTTCCATTTTCATTAGTCCTATTTATTTCCAGCAAAATGGAAAGGCCAAACAACACAAGAGATGGCATGAAGGAATAAACAAACACATTTTTAAGAGATTTCTGTTTTCTTGATTGTGATTACTTAAATACCTCAGAAGCACATATTTCTATAGCATTTATTAACAATATCATTTTAGATCTGTTTTTTGAAAATTTCTCTTGCTCTTATAATATGGTATGTACTTTCTTTCAATCCTGGTAAGCCATCATTCCTTTTGTTTAGAAAAACCCTTTGAAAAAAGTCAACCATTCTTGTCCAGGAGACAACTCTTTTTTCTTAGTAAGTGCCTGGACTCACCTTTACTCAATATCTGTTTAGCTGAAGCAGAATGAAAGCAAAGTGGAACATCACCCCCTCAAAATCACACTCCTCAGTCTTACCTATTGCCCCTCTGTTGTTCATGCAATCAGTTCTTTGCTCACCAGTGTGCCCTTGTTTTTCTCTATGTGCACTTATCTCAAAACCTTCTCTCTCCCTTAATATCTTCCTTGGTATTTGCTTTAATCATTACAGAGATCTTACGAACTTCCCACCACGTACACTATACACATCTACTCTTAACAGGAACAGCCCTTCCCAACTGACTTGTACCAAACTCTCCCCATCCACCATTCTTTCCACCCTCAAACTCTCTCAATTCACTCCAAAAACATTTTGTTCAACTCCTATTCCCTAAAAGGCATTCTGCAGCCAGCTCTCCATATAGAAAAAAATAATTTGACTCTAATCTTGCAACCTTCTAGAGAGAGCATTCTTTGCTACTTTTCTTTCTCAGGTAAAAGGGAAAAGAATACTGACCACTTTATTCTCTGCATTATGCGAGTTTTACTCTAAAACTTAACTAGAGAAGTTTATACAGCTGTCCCTCTCCACCAAAGTCCAACCAGTCCTCAAATGAGATACCAGACTGACAGTCCCCCAGAGAAATGCATAAACATTACTGCTGCATGAGAGTTTAGCTTTTGCATTTGCCTGCAACAGTGACTCCCATTTCTGTTCACCTAGATTTTTTAAATTAAAAACTATGCATAAGTGCACCTGGAAGCTTGTTCATCCACCCTACACTATTTGGTTAACTTCAGCATTCTTACTTTGCCCATTCTGGGTGACTGGCTACTGTCTCATTGATCAAGCTGCTTGTGACTTGAATCATGTGAACGCTCTCTTGATGTACCTAAATTGAATATAGAGAGGAAAAATGTTATCTAATGCAAACTAGAAGTCTTTCTACATTCAGAGAGGCTTTCTTTTTCTTTTTTTTTTTTTTCTTCTGCAGGTTGGGGGGAGGTGACCAGTCTGTATATTTAACAAATAATTCTTCCAATGCAGACAACCCATTATGAAGAATGAAGTGCCCTTAACCCAAAAAAGCAGACAACACAATAATCACCAGTCTGTTCTGACAATTTTGGTCTCACACACTGTGTTTCCAGCCAATGAAAATTTAAACCTTACCTCATCAGTGGAAAAAATTCTAACAATACAGCAGTGCTGTCAAGGGAAGTACTAAAATACAAAGCACAGTTGCAGACACATCTTTTTAAGCCATGGATCAAAGAAGTGTAAAAACCAAATAATGCTCAGCTCTAACATGACCAACCATGCTATGAAGTGCCTCATCAAATTAATACTTCAATAAGAATGATAAAAGACACCTTTTATAAATATCTTCATTTTCTTTTTCTGAATATAAGAAGCTTTAGGCAGGTATGTTTGCACAACTTTTAAAGTTACAAATTTTAAGTACTCAACATTATAAAAGCCTACATTTTGGAAAAAGGAGACTGACATCAGAACTCACTGATTTTTTTTGTTGAGTAACTCTATTCAAGTCAAACATTCAATCTCCATTGACTGTTTCAAGTATGAACACAGCTCAATCAAAAAAAAAAAAGGGGGGGGGGGGAAAAGTACATGAGTGACCTCTTCTGGTGAGCAAAAAAAACCCCCAACCATAAATCAAAAAATCAGTTTCCGAGAACACCTGATCATGAATCTCAGCACATTTAAACTCAGAACAGGATACCATGAGGTTATTACAGGCAATTACACAAACAAATTGACAAATACACCTTAAGCATTTTGCAAATACGTTTCCAATGCAAGGTAAATTAAAAAGAAAAAATTCTAAGTGGTTCTACTGTTGACAAGAAAAGGGGAACAGGATGAAAAACAAATCTGTTCCTGTAATATATAACCTAGTAATTCTTTTACTAGAATAAAATTTGTATTTACAAGTGTCTAAATATTAGTTTTGTCATATATGTAGATAAACATATAAATACAGATAAATATAAATATATAGATTTTTATATATAAGTAGTCTTGGAATGGTTCAATTACAGAGCATTTAGTTGCTAAATTTTTCAAAAAATTCTTTAAGCTACACAATTTTGCATAAATATCAGTAACTTTAATTCAGCACTTAAAATGAGCTCTATGATTACATTCCTTAGTGCACTGTACCTTTGCAGTAAGCAGCAGGGCTAGCAGGAGGGTTCCTATCACTAGCAAAAATATTATGAAAATGCTGATTATTTTATCTAGCATTTTCTCCAACCACACGATCATCTGTGCAGAAAAAAAAGAAAAAAAAATCATAGCATATAAATAAATCTTTAATGAAAGCAATGCTATATGCTATATGACAGTACTGTTATCTTTATTTACAATCACAGTGCAAAATCAGGCTCTAATCAAACAGCATTTATGCCCAAGCTTGGAGATGAACAAATAACAAGCGATGTTAGCATGATTAAGGTCATGGTATGATATGTGATTTTGCAAATGACATTTACACATCACCACAAGACACAGCAAGCTCTCTGCGAAGCAAGCAATAACTCAACATTTACTTACTAAAGAAACTAGCATTCACATCAGCTATGAACCTAGAAATTTGTCTTTGTTTCTTGTCCTTCAGCAACTCAGAAACTTACAGATACCATCTGCACAGGAGCTGGAAGCTATCAAGGTATACTGTAAAATACAACCATGACTTTCAAATTTGAATAGCTAATAGCCACCTAAACAACAAATGAGGTATTTCTGCAAGTAACCAGATTTCTAAAGTTGCTCATCATATTGTGAACTGGAATGGGGCTGGAGGTCTTCTAAATTATTGAAGATCAGGCTAATTACTCAGCTCTGACTATTTCTATCCACTTGCAATCTCAAAAGGATGCTCAGTATTAAACACGCATCAGTTTCACCTACTAATACAGGAAACAGGCTTGTATGTTGTTCTGTCAGTTTATGGAAAGGCTCATTCTATATATGTCCACAACAAATAGTGACACCACTTAAGAGTAGAGAAATTATGATAAGGTAATTCAAAACAGTAAAACTCCTCAGCAATGCAACTATGCAGAGTGCTCTAGGATAGTGCAAGCTGAGCTTTATCTCATACACAAATTGACTGTTTACATAAAAAGGTGTGAAAGCCCATGCAAGTACGACCAAATAAATTCTTATAACTTCTGTGGTTCAAATACCAAAGCTATCTACTCCATCTGGCATTATTATAGGAAAAAGCAGCAGAAGAACAGCTGTAAAATTTGTCTTTTAAGAGTACTGAGGTCAAAGCCAATGTGCAGTAGATGAAAGTATTTCCAAGTGAGTAGAAGTTAAGTATTCAATGATTGGGCTGATAACCTTTTAGTTAGAAAACTTACAAAACTACTAATATGCTTGCTCATGGTTTACATTTGTTCTTTCTTCATTATTTACCCCATCCCTACACATGAAATTGGCCCTGGAACGGATATCTTCTACAGACTACTGTGTGATAACTGAGTTAGTTAACACTGAAGTTCCATCTGCTATTTGAAACAAAAGTAAGGATTTTATTATTATTATTATTATTATTATTTTTATACTTTTTTGTGCTCCTCCTGTAGCATCTGAGCAGGTAATGTACATTAAGCAATTACTTTTAAACTTCAAGTTCTTTTACAACCAGCTCCTTGTTTGATCTAAATTAACACAAGGATTATATTCAGCATTTTCAAACTGTTGTTCTAAATGATGAAGAAAGCTGGAAGGAAAGTAAAATCCTTTTAAAAGAAACAAGTGTTGAGCCAGCAAGTTTTTGTAACAAAATCTGCACTATATTATGACCTGCAGAAAGGAATTCAGGTAAATTGAAAGAAATTTACGAAATCTTTTGTCTTAGATATTTTCAATATTTTTCAGCATTAATGAATTTCAGCCATCAGAAATGCCTTGCCAGTGCTACAGGGAGGTTACCTGTCTGCAACAGCACTGCTGCTTTCTGAAAAAAACTCTGAGTAACCTCTACACGGGGCTGTCACCTCTTTGGAAACAGGACTGGAAACAGGATTTGCTGTGCTCTCCCCAAGCCTCACATACATTCAAGGATTATGCGAGAGAAGCAAGAAATAAAAATCCCTGTTTTAAAGGTCAGAAATCAAAAATATCACAGAAAAAACTGGATGGCCAGGGGATGGAAATTTTATAGCATGGGCTTCAAAATGGTGCTATTAAAATTAAAGCTGCACTTGTTATTTCTTAGCTAACAAAGTTCAAACTAATTGCTATTTACTTTTTAAGTTAGAGATAAAATAAATCTACTAGTTAGTCTTATACAGAGCAACTTAATCAGATTCACTGAACCCAAGAAATTGCAAGTACTGCCAGGTATTTCCAAAAATGCTAGCCTCAATGATTGAGTGGTATCCAACCACTCATGAAATCTCAGTGCAGCTGACACTGGGTGCTTTAGGTGTGTCACCATGGTAGCAATTACTGGAAGATCAAGTTCCAGACCAGGATGAGGACCCTCTCCGAACTGGAACATGACCAACAGGGAATCTTTTACTGACACTGCTTAATGTGGGCTGGAGTACACTGCCACCTACACTGCCACTGAGGTGCAGCTGCAGCACATGTAAAGCCTGAATTACCTTTAATCTAATCAGTAAAGTAATGGCAGCACTGATGTTGTACCGCTACAGGCAGCGGCCTCAGCCATCCAAGCCCAACTTGTGTTTATTGACTTGGGCAGGTAGCCCAAGCAAGCTAGATGAAAGCCAACTCCGGTATGCCTACAGGTACTGCTAGTACATCTCCAACCACAGTCTTAAGGAGACGCAGGTTACACAACTGGTAAAAACAAATCACAGGAGTAGACTGAATTGGATTGAGTACTGTAGAAGTAAAAGCAGTAAGTAAATGTTCACTTAGGGCCATATTTATTCTCTCTCCTTTAATTTGCTCCCTATTAAACCTCCCTTCTTCCCCCTACATGTACCCACAATACTTCCTGAGGAAGCACTCACCTTTGCACGCATGCTAAACAATGCATAGGTGCTATGTTACTGTTAACATCCCCGTGTGCTTGTACTTACCACTGGATCAGGTCCAGACTTCATTCTTACCCCAACCCTGCCAGATCTCCCTTTACAGTCTCCCTGTAAACCATGGGCATGCACACAAAGACAAACATATACCGACTAAATACTAGTCATCAGCCAGAGATCATGAAGTTTTAAATTAAGTTCCAAGCTTCTAATCTAAAAGTTAGTCAACAGCAGGAAGCTGACGCTGCCACAACATCCAAAATTACGCAAAGGTAAAGGAAAGCCAGGCTCCCAAGCTACAGAAGGTCACACTTGCAAAACCAAACTGAAATGTTACTGATTTGTGATAGACCGTCCACAAAAAAACTATCCTCAATTGTCACAGTTTTGAAGGGAAACGTATCAACTTTTGAAAAATTTTTAAAAATTTAGCTCACTGTAGAAAAAAAAGGGTCTTAAGATAAGTTGCATTCTGTTCAAATACTTCTCAATAATTTGCAAGTTCTCCCCGCTTTCAGCTTTTGGGTGATGATATAAACCATATTACACTGAGCTGTAAAAGAACTACAACTCATGCTTACCAGGAATCCTACTATCTAGACAAGTTCTCCACGTTATGCATTAAGATACGTCACCTATGAATTCATATTTTCATGTTCCACACTGCATAGCCATCACAACACTAGTTTTTCTAGTATGTTTTAACTACTGCATTACCCACACAGTGAAGCATACCCAGACATCTACTTAATTTTCAATTAAATCTACATGCAATTATCAAAAAGGACTAGTTTTTTTTTTTCTTCTGACAGCTTCACTATCAGTATTTTTTCCAAGACACTTCTTAAACTTCTTGACATTTCCCTTTAGTTCAGTTAATATTTGAGGATATTATCTTAGTAATATCATCTGATGAGAATAAGCCTGTTATGAGGACACATCTCAGGGTTATGTTGAAATGAGTCAGATGAGTAGTTACAGAGAACAGTCTATGAGGTCTCAAGTCTATTTGTATCAGTATCCCTCCAACAGCAACAGCAGAATTCAGCAATCCTTTCTAAAGACTCCTGCCATAGTGTTACAAAGAACAAATGCTAGCCCAACTGAACCTATTCTGTATTTTGGGCTACATATACCATGTTGAACTATGTAATTATTTACTGTTCTTGTCTGGAAAAAAAAAAAAGTTTCAGGCAGCTCTGACAGAAGCTCTTAGAACAGAAAGAAAAAAAAAATGTTTATCACTAGCAGTCATAAGCAACCATCATTTCAAACTCTGCTGTCTCTAGGTATTTTTAGTTTCTTGGTGAATTATCAGAAATTTATCTTGGTGTTCTCACAACTACTTCCCTTCAAAGACAGATAAAAAGGAGAAAGGTGAAAGGAAGTGACTTTTTAACTGCATCCAGTGTTCTGTATTACAAATCTCTCCTTTCCTTGCCTCTAGTAGAAGCAAAGAAACTCTACCAGAAGCAAAGAAAAGAAAACAAACCCAAAAAAACAAATCCACAAGAACTTGATACAGTCTGCACAGTACTTTTTTTGCCCTCTCTCCCCCCCCCCCCCCTCTCTCCCCCCCCCTTTTTTTTTTTATCTTGATTATAACAGTACTCTACTTGCTCATGCACAGGAGTCAGCACTGCATGTAACACTAAAGGACTTTGAGGATCTCTTCCTATGAAACTAAAATAAAACAACAGCTTTCAAAAATAGCCCCTAGGACCTTATAAAAAAAAAAAAAATCTGTTAAGAAACTATATCCACTGGGTTTTGCCCAATAATTCAAATCTCTAAACTAAAAATAAAATCCAGACATTTCAGAGTTCAAATCAACTACAATGAAATTATCTTTGCAAAGTATCAATTTTAAGGAAGAAATTTATCTACATACGTTAACTTTCAAACAAGCAAATGGCAAAGTCAGAGCCAGAAAATTAGTAGTTGAGACTGAACTAAAACCTGTGGCTCACTGAACTCAGCGCTTCACCTAAACTGTGCTAACAAACCAATACTAAAAAACCAATAACAAACCAATAATAAAAAAAAATTATGAAGGGTTACAGTTGCACATGTTTACTGATTTTCACTCACATAGCACAAACATTTCAAAGTCAGGAAATAAAAATATAATTTTAAAACAACCAAACTATATTCAAGGGCAAAAGACTATACTAAATTTCTTCTTTTAGTGGACAATTACAACTGAATCATAAAGCAAGCAACTCTATCCTCTTGTTCAGAGAAAGCCCCCCATCATATAATCCTGAGTTCTCTGATTAAGTACTGAATATCAAATTTTCCAAAATCATTAGAGCTGTACAGCCTGGACACTACACGCAGCATTATTTCCCATCTGCCACACACAGCAGACACCAGCTGAGCAGCCCCATTTCATTGTTTACAAGAACATTTTAGAGAGTTGTGCCAGTGTCTCCGTGGCCTGCGTGCTCCACTCTGTTCCGCTTGCTTTCAACAGCATTCAGAGGTGTTTTTCTCAATGTGCCAGGCAGATCAATGGTTTGGATTGTAATAGCTACTGAATGGAAAGGATGGGTTGTGGCTCATAAAAACCACAGTAACCATTCTGACTCTCCCGCTAATACTGAAGAGGTAAGTGAGGATAAAAGGTGCTGCTGGGAGCATAACCCATTTCCAGATATGATATTTGATTGTTTCTCTTTCACTTACTGACTTGGTTCTCATATACTTTATCACATACTAGATTTTAATCTTCAAAACGCTGAGGTCCTGCAGATGTACACGTGCTAGAGGCACCCCCCTCCAGCTCTGTGCTTGCCTGAAGCAATGACACAATGACCGAGGCTCAGAGAGATACCACCGCACTGAGGAGTGGTCCGGGCTTCAGCCCGGTATGAGGCCAAACATGGACTGAATCAGTTTTAACTTCTCTTGGGATGACAGTTCCCCAAAGAACAACAGTTAATCCTAGATGACTAAGATGAACCATGGGAACTGAGGAGTACATTTCTTATAAAACAGATCACACACTTTTGAAAGCAACACAGAAGAAACAGAAAAAGAAAGAAAAATATTTTAGCTATACTAACTGCTTTAATATTTCTTTTTTTTTTTTTTTTTTACTAGCCCTCACTTACCTTAAGACTGCTGTTAGATTCAGCAGTGCTGAGACCATGAGTATTCTTATTTCAGCCCGGCTACACTGAATCCCACTGCGTATACAGGCCAGTTTGACACTTCTAAAGTACAAGATTAACAGCACTGACTGAAACCAGTCAATGCGCTACCTGCAAGCACTTACATTCCTGGCTTTACAACTGTGCTTCACCCTCACCCTTCCCATGTTGATTCAGTTACCTGATGCTTTCTCTGAGCAGAGAACATCTCTCCAGTCCAGGAGAGAACTGGTTTTGTTATGCATACAAGTGTGGACCAGGTGGAGACAACTGTTCTTAATAGAAGTGCCACTAAATCAAACTACTGCTTGAAAGGCTAATACAAAACATTTAACTATGTGCATTCATTTTAGTAGAAGACAAGAGATCAGGTAGAGAGTTATATGACCTTCAGTAGCTTATATCAAGAGCTGGAAAACAGACACTTGGGAGAGAAAACTAAGAAGCAAGGCATGTTAAGGAGTGCTCATGCTGAAAAAAAAAACCTCCCCAAAACCACAGAATCCATTAGTTGGAAATCACAATTTTTCTGTTTATTTACCTTCTTATTAAGCCAGTGCCACAGCTTGTCAGTGGCAGGGGGAGATGGAAGAAAAGGGAAAAAAAGACAAGAACACAGTGGAAAAATTATTGAAAATACAGTAATAGAAAGGGGAAAAAAAAAAAAAAAGCAGTGAGAGGCAGGCAAAGTCATCCACAGAATGAAAATGAAATTGTTCCAGACACAAAGGTAAATTGCAATAGGAAGAAAAGACTTCTAACTTCTAACACAAGAATCTAGATTTTACTATTAACATGCACTTTTTGAAACAACAAGGGATATAACAAATAAGAACAACTTTAATGATATCAACAGAGCTATCAGCATAATCTAAGCAATTACAGTTTAATCACACTGGGAGCTAACATTTCAGACTTCAGAGCAGGACTTATAAAAGTTCTCCAAGAAGGGCACTTTACTGAAAACACCGAAACTTAGCATGAGTTACTTTTTCATTGCGTTCCCATTCAGGCAGTTTCCTATGTATTTCAAAACACTGGGTTATGTCAACTACTGGCAAACAAATTTTGTATTTTTTTTTTTTTTAGTACCACATTCATATCACAACATTCAAATTCAATGGCACAACATCAAATATGTAATTAAACCTGCTATACACACAACAGCAAATCGTAGGTCAAATAAATGTATGACTTTAATATAATTTTATTGGTTGTGCAGAAGGCTCTCTGCACTTCTCAACAATCAATTTCTGCTTTTGTACTACAGTTATTTTTCCTTACTAATTCTCACTCATACTGCTCAAGTACACTCATTTTAGGACCTAGTTTATGCAGGACTATATTTTTAATTCTAGCCATTAGTAATCAGTTAGCAGCATAATCACAACAGTGAAAAGCTTTAACATTATTAATCTGTGTGAGAGGTTAAGATCAAGTAAGTGAAGTTGTGTTTCTCCCTGAAAACAAGATCATTGAATGCTCAATAAATCTAGTGTTTTCACCAGTTGCCTGAAATTACATTAGCTCCAAATGAAAACAAAATGTAAGAACACCTCAAATTAAAAAAAATCTGCCAGAAGCAGATTTACAAAGAAACATGAACATCAGGAAACATGAAAATAAAGTACGTCACAAAGCACCCAGTTTTACTAGCTTTTACTACTCATGGAAAGAATCACAGTAATGGAAAACAATGACAAAGCTTCAAAAGCCTCAAATTGAGACTGTAGAATTTGTTTCTATTTTACCTCTTCATCTATAGAATAATTTACCAGTGAAAAAAGGTAAAGTTGTTTACTGATTCAACAACACAGTTTTGCCTTTAACTTTGCTTCTGCGTATTAAAATCCCATATACATTAGGTTCATTTTGGAAAAAACCATAGATCTCATGGCTGTATTTCTCCATTTTGCAACTCCAATACAACAAAAGCTGGATCTGAGCCTGAAATTTTGGTAGAATGGGAAAGGAAGTATTGGGTATTTCTGCTACAATTTCAGCCTCCTGGCACTGGAGGATAAATACAATAACTAGGAAATAACATTATATGTCAGCTATAACTTTATTATTATCATTAATGTTTAAGACAAAATCTGGGAGGCTCTACCTGGTATCTTACCAATACTGACGTTTAAGCCGTTCTACAAATGTCATCGACACACATTTAAAAAATAGGTTATGGCTTAATACTCATCTTCAAGTAATCAAAGATTAATAATGCTATAGCCACTTTCCAAGTAATTATTGCAAAACTATTTATGTAAGATGTTACATGTCTATGGAAGTATTTCCTGGAATAATATACGCACTGGTAGAGATTCTGCCCATTTTCTGTGCTTGCTTTAACTATGTGCTAAAGTTGGTATCAGAAGAAACCAACCTTGACTTTACCCAAAATCCAAACAATCTATTACAGCTCTCCACATACAAAATTCCAGAATACTATACCTAGAAAAAGCATTTAACTACTTGATTCACTGAAGTCTGCATGCAACATACTAGCATATTGTAATTAATGAAAGTCTACTGCATGCCGCTGAGTAACTGCTTGTGTTGCTGAACTCACTTGCAAACTCTCATCAAAATAAAACTATGGTCACCATAGTAAAAGACAACAGTCTTTTAAAAAAATAAATTTCAGTTAAGCAAATTATTAGTTCTTGACTGTTGATAAGAACATGCATGATACCATATCTATTAAGTTTTAAGATGACGTGATGGATGACAACAGAAATGGCCCTACTCTTTCCTCCAGGAAGTCTCTCATATCTGAACTGTTGTGTCTGCTGGCTCCATGGGGCAAATGCACCACCATCAGGGACTACAGAATACAGTAAGAACACCCTATTTCCATAGTCCATATTTTGGACTTGACCCACTGTTGATAAAGAAAATGAAAAGCAATGCCCTTCTTTCTTTCCTCTTGATCAGAACTTTTCTTCAGTTCCAATTTGCCTGCATTTCCAAGATAACCAGAGGTTGAACAACAGTTCTTTTCTTACTGTTTTTATTTAAGAAACAGACATAATCAGTAAAGCTCAAAGATTCACACACATGAGTAGTACTCTCCTGTAATTCCTCCCAATGGCTTATTTTCCAGACCAGTTACACTAGCCTCCTGAACTTTGTTTGAGAGAAAAAGACATGCCGCTCTAAGGTGTCTTCCTCATCCCGACTACCTTTTACTCAAAGCTGGAACTATTTAATAGGGCACATCACTTTAGAAAGAGCAGGTAGTACAACTAGATACTTGTGTGAAACAACCTTGGTCATAGCTTGTTGTATTTAGCTCAGAGCCTCCATACATCCTGATGCTGAGATTCAGCCTCCAATTAACTCAGTATACAAGAAACAAAACTAAACAAAGAAAAAAAAAAAAAAAACCACAATGCAACACTATTTCAGCTCCCAGGAAAATAAAGTACAAATAAAATATTTAAAAATTAAACATCTAATTGCAAAGGAAATGACCCTTCAATCTTGGTTTCTTCACGTACACACATAAAAGGTAAGCTCTTAACAATTTACTCCATTAATTTCTATTTTGTGTTTGCATGTTTTTACCTCCTCTTCAACAGCACTGACTGAAGCCAAAATAGTAATCCAATTTTTATACAGCTCACTCGTCCTTTCTAAAAAATCTTGCAAGGATGTCAGTTTTATTCCTCTCCTTTTCCTGTCCCCACAAAAATCACAATTGCCAATATCCTATGACATTGCTTCCCAAATTCTCAGAGATAAGATGCATCCATGATCCTACAATGCACAGAGTAAGCAAAACCAGTAGAACTTAAAAGATATGAAAGCATTAGTGTGACGAGCATTGGAAGACCACATATAATTCCTGACACCCATGATAAAGCCAGGTGAACTGTAATTAGAGTGGGCACAAACGAGGACAACAGAATTATGTAGAGTATCAAGTGTCTGTCTTATAAAGGCTAGAAGAGCTTGAATTGCTTTAATACACCCAGCAGAGACTGAATATTACTGTCATCTAAAAAATGGGAGACAGAGGGGAGATGTAGAAATTAATTAGGCCACTCTGTTCTTTTGCTTAGACAAGTATAACATGAATATACACTGACCTTAAATACATTTAAGCTGAGGAGTGGGAAGTTCTGCTACACATTATGACAAAAGCCCTACCTTCTTTAAGGTAGGGGAATTAGAAAGGATACCATATCATACATTTATGAAATACAAGGATACCAAACTTGACAACTCATGAAATACAATACGTATGATATTGTGTCTAGGGAAACTTCTCCATTACAAAACAAAAGTTTTTAATGAAAAGCTTTGTATAATATGCTAATACTTCCCATTACCTCTGGAAACCCCCTTTATTTTGTTCATAACTGAATTCTGAAAGGCTTTTCCTTTTTCAAATTCTTCCTCAATGACTCCATGAAATTGTTACTTATTTCCTACAGCCATTTCAACACTTCTGTTGACCTTTTGACATTCATTCACTCATTAGGTGTGGGCTTAAGCTCTTCCCTTTCCTATAGGAATTCAGAGCTATAAACTACAGACGGATCTGACAAGGTACAGATGCTCTGATAAATGTACTTGCAGGGTTCAGCTCTTCAGTTACACAAACTCTGAGGTAACTGCTTTTTCTAAAGCAGAGAGTACTTCAACAACAGTTACAGAAAGCACATTCTTACATACTGGCATAGCTATTACAAACAAAATCTATCACGTTAAGTCAAAACTTACTGAACAGAGAAGCTTTCATAAATTTTATGGAGCTTCTCAACTCTGCAATTTGCGATGCAAATGTGGGTCCATTTTGAGAGGGGGAGAAGGAAGGGGAGCACAGAAGCCTTACTCTACAGCATTTCCCAAATACCTTATCTCACATATTTCTTCTCTTAGAGAGGGAAACCTCGCTTCTGTACCACCATGTCACTGTGTTCAACATCTATACTTTCACACAGCATAAATGAACATGTTCAAACTAGCTCAGGCCATACTTACAGAATAAAATAGGTTGCTTTTTAAATTAAGTTTTCACAGCAGAAGTGGGAACATCTCATCCTTCAGATTAAAGCTCATTAAATTTAACTTCAAAATCTCTGTAATCGGGTAAGGCGACTCAACTATGAGAAGTCTGCCTTACTCAGACAAGGAATCTTCTAAAGCTAACTCAGCATTTTTAAAAAGTGACTTCTGTCAAGTTTTGCACGTAATCATTTAACAAAGTTTAAACATCTACTTAAGTGTGAACAGTGACAGAAGAGACATGGTTTAAAATACATCATAAAACAGATACAGTTTTACATGAGAGACATGTCCATTAGTGACAGACATTTTAGAATTAAAGCATCTCAGCATACAGTGAACAGAGAATAAAACAAACTTTCAGGTTGCTTAAGGGAATATGTAGAAATACCTTACTGTCAAGCTTCAGCATAACTCTTCCAAGCCCTCTGATGGGCCATGGAGCAAGAGCTTCCTGACGTTCCTTCACAAAATTTTCAACAAGTTGCCACCAACTTTTGCAATGGTTTGCCATGAAGTTCAAAACTCCAAAATGAACTACGAGTTTTTTAAGTGCCCAAGCTGTAACCACAAGAAAGAAAGAAAGTATTAGAGATTTCAGAGGAGCACCACAAGACTACACAACTATTCCATTCTGAAATACCTATAAAAAAAGAAAGAAAAAGATTCTTGAGTTTTATTTCCCATTAGAAACCACTTGCAGAATTCTGAAGTGGTTTTAGTACTAATCTCCTCATTTGCTTTACAGCTGTGCTTGTCCACATGGAGCTTAGATGGCAGCAGAAGAAAGGTGCCTGCACGCTGCCCAATGATGCAGCTAACAGACCTGAGCAAGGCCCGAGATAAGCAGGTGCTGTTCCATGATTCCAGTACAGTGGATTTATCACATCTTTACACAAACACCATGCCAGACAACTATACGTAAAATACCACATTCAGAACAGTGTGTTACACATAAAAGAAAATTTCCAGCCTCAATTCTTAATTTTTAGGCCTTCTATACTGTTAAAGCTGTATCTTTCCTTTAAGGACTGATAGCATATCATGCCTAATTTCACAGTAGTGTTCATTTAAACCTTCAACTGAAGTACAACTGCTGATTAATCTTATTTTTAAACATCAAAAACATTATTTTGAGATCAGTTTTTATCTTGGCTTGAAGATGATCACACAAAGATTCAGAGAAATCCATACTGCTCCTCAAAACCAGACAACAGAAGTAATATTTGCAACTTTTTTCCCTTGAAAAGGAAGCATTTTGCTACCACAAACAGCTGTTCTCCAACACTCCTAACATATATCCACTGTAAAATAAAGAGCTTCTTAACAACACTAGAAATGTCTAGCATTACAGTTACGGAAATAAAAGCTTGTGTCTGTGTACCTGCCATGAAATAAAGCCCAGAGACTTTTGCATAAGGCTTATGGTTCCAGTTCTTTGGTGGCACTGTTGTCCCTCACTTACTGAGTCTATGGGCAAAACTTGTGAAACATAATCAGGAATGTAAAAGCAAAAAAGCAGGATACATATGAAACTTTCCTTTGAAGCTCACAGACCTTTAATAGTCATGAAATATTGCCATATTCTTTTTTTATTCAACTAAACGTTACACCACTCAAACTACCTATCTTCTCATCACTGAAAAGAAGAAAAGTGAGCAATCTTCCCAAGCCACGAGCAAATTTAACATCAGAACAGAGGAGTTAATTAATTCACATTATAAACAAAGATGTGTATAGCAACTGATTTTACTACAGTATTGATACAAACATGCCAGCCACAAAAACATCATTACAAGATACATCAGCTTAAAGGATCATAGTTACTATGTGCAGCAGTAACAAACTGAGAAGTCTCGCAACCCAGTCCTGCCATGAACTGCTGCTACATAAACCTCTAAACAAAACTATACATTCCCCAAATACTGAAAACTATGGTTCTAAAGGAAAACAAAGGTAAACTATCAGCAATGGAATCACACAAATCTCTTAACTTCCCCCTATTTTTTTTTTAACTGGAATTTAGTAACAGTGAACATCACATCTAGATCAAAAGTTACAGTTGGTGTTAAAAACCCTACTTACACAGTAAGTAACTTTCTGTGAAAACACCAGCAGCACTCCTCTAATTATATCGTATCTATAGCAACATATGATACAGGATTCCCCATCATTACATTCAGTTTTATTTTTAATAAAACTTTTTTTTTTTATTATGAAAGACTATTCTCCAAACTATATTAATTACTTACTGGCATATATCAACACCACAGTAATTCCCTCATCCTCAAAAATTCACATCACACTTCTACTTGGAGACATGTAAAATGACATATATAGCCGAAAAGGTTAACTTTTAATACTCATAGGATATTTATCAAAGTTCCACAAGATCCTACTACATGTAAGCCACTACTGTAATAGCTGACGTTCGGAGAGCTCACCCAACAATTTGCTGCTATTTGGTTTACTTACCTTCTAGCACCACCATGTGGTAAACATGCGATTTAGTCTCTTGAAGAAATAGAATCATCTAAGAATCTTTCTACTAAAGATCATCCTGTGCCTGGGCCAGCATCTAACTTGCCGGCTGAAGTTTTGTATCATGAAATACAACTCATGGTGAATACACAAACTGCTGCTCAGCAAAATGGGGCAAGCTTGCATCTTACATTTTACAAGGTGAACAACATACCTGAAACGGCATTCTAAACTTCTGCTATTATTTAAAAACAAGTGTGGTGTACACTTACTGTAAAGGTGATGCCAGGAGATGCTACAGTCAACCACACAGCTGTAATTACATTAGCTTAAAATGAAGCAAGAGAGGAAAAGCTAAAGGAGGGTTGTTATTAGAAAGCTGTGAAGAAAAGACCTGAAGACAAAAATAAAACTAAAAAACAGGATGCAACAGAACAAGCAAGAAAATAAATCAAAGATCTTAAAAAGAAACAATAACAGGTTTCTCAAGCTCACTGAACAAAATGCTACAGGTGTTCCACAAATTGGTTTAATGCTTAGCTTTTGAATTCAAAAGTCATTTTTCATTTTATGGTATAATTTTTCCACCCTTTATGTTAAGCAATTTTAAAAGATCATCCTAGTCTACTGAACTACAAATGCATTCGAGGAAAAATGTTAATAGCATCAATATACTTCTAACAATCTAAATGCTACTTCATGTAAGTCCTGTCTACCAGTATAAGGAACTGTAGTGAAATCAACACCTTTCTATACAAGGTTTATGGGGTGGGGGTTTTTTGGGGAGGAGTGTTGGTTTGGGGTTTTTTTGTTTGTTTGGGG